CCCGGCAGAGCTTGGAAGTGCCGGCAAAATGCAGGCCCGGTCACAGCTCCCCGCGCCGGCACCGACCGCCTTGGCAGAGCCCCTGCAGGGATCGTGGCCGTAACTGTCTTGCACAGCGTTCTGTGTATTCCTTGCAGGCATTACTGATAAGGCAAAGCGTAAATGAACAGTTTCATATTTTGCTCAGACTTCAGTGTTTGCCACTTGAAGTGTTTAAACCCCTCGGCCTCCAGCTTTCGTTCAGTTCACTGTGAAAATAAARTAATTCCCCTCCTGAAGTACCCAGATTACTTAGGCACTTGTGCTGTAGTGCTGGTGCCTGTATAAACTCAAAGAAAAGTAGGAGAGAAGTTCTCCAAAATCCTTGTGTTCAGACAGGATGTTACTCGTGTGTAAGCAAGGGAGGCAGAGCAGAGCTTGGAGTCTTGCTGTCTCTAGTGCTATTCTTAAATCAGATTAAGAAAGTTAGGAAACGATTCTAACTTCCGGAGAGTTTGGCAGAGATTAGAGGATGTTTAGTTTGGAAGAATTCATGGAATTGTGTTTTATGCACTTAGGGTTTGTGATATGCTTAAGGGATCTTTTACTGAGAAAAAGACTTGTCTTTCTGCAGTATCTCTCATAGATCGAGATCCCTGTCCCTTTTCTGGTTGGAAAAGGCAATATTTAACCGCATTACAAATAAAGAAATAAATGTGCTGCTGCAGGAATCTCGGTTGAAATCTTCGGGGACTGTAGGCCGTATTGGAATACAAAGGATGACTGAGATCTAGAAATGGTTGGTCAAAGATCTTGAAAGCAAATGAGCAGTTTTGCCAAATAAGGAAACTTGGCACATTCTGCTGTGTATTTTAAGATAGCACCAGTGTAGTGTGCTACTACTTTATTGGCAATATGTTGGCAGAATGCCTTCCTCAAGGAAGCACTGAATCCTGCTTTAGAGCCATCCAGGGAAGTGAAAGGAGTGAGTTACATAGTTGTTTCCTTCAATAAATTGTAAAATATATGTTTATATTTTATAATATATTTATAGCATAAAGGAGTAGAATATTGAAAACATCTTGGGTACACKTGAAGGTGCACAGGATGAGTGATGCAGGTCTTAGTTTTACAGACAGGCACTAAGGAAACCATGAGCTGCTTTACAGTGTATGTAAGGCAGGTCTTGCCTCCTGCTTTACAATGTGTGTGCAGGAAGGAACAAATTCCCTGGTTTGCAGCCTTCCTTATGCCCGCCAAACTTGCCAGGACTCTGAGCTTTTATTACTGTGTCGAGCTGAGCTTGCTGTGGCACCGAGTRCTGTGAGGACTCGGCGCAGTAAATGCTATCAAATGCATCCCAGGTCTCTTGGCTTCTGGGTGAAGTGAACAGCCTCTGATGTCCAGCAAAAATGAGTTAGGAGGAGAAAATTCTGCAGAGAAGATGGTTATGAGCTCGTGTCAACCATTGGAAATAAAATGGAAGAAGGAGAGAATTCTTTATCTTCCTCTCAATTAATTGAGCTATCCAGCAAACAACTCAGTTTCTTCTTCTCAGTTTCAACTTCTTCAAATATTCATCAGTCACAGTTACTGAAATGCCACATTTTTATTTCTTAAGCAACAAAAATAGTTGATGCAGTGTTTTTTAATGCTAGACTACAGTAATGATTAAAAATTCAATATTATGTTACTAAAGAATGATAGGACTGATTCTAAACTTTGAGGACACTGTATTTCTTCTATCAAAAGGAGTTGCTGTAGTGGCTCTATTCAAGCCCCAGGCAAGCAACCCTATGACACGGGACTTGTCTCCTGAGTACAGTAATGTAAGATCTAAAAAGTGCTTCAGGCTGGTGGAAAGAAGCACTTATTTTGTGTAGAAGTACAAGAATATGAAGTTTAATTAAATGTAAGTTTTTTTTCCTAACTATTGGTGTAAACTCGGAGTGTTAAGTATCTTTTAAAACACAGTGACAAGTTAATGACTATGTATGTAGTTGTCACATGCAGTAGTTACTCTAAACAGTTGTTTTCTCAAGCATAACAGAGGGAYTGATCTGCCTAATTGAGGATTAACTGCCTGGCATCCAAAAACAAGGAGTAATATTTAAACAGGTCTCTTTTGTCATCTAGAAGAGAAAGACTGTATGTCTACCTTAGACTGGCATTAATCATAGCTATCTGTATAAAGAGTATGCTGTGTAAATCTCAACTTTCTCTGGAAAAAAAAAAATCTTGAAAAATCTAGGTTAAAYCAATGAATCATCTTTAAAATGTATTACTGTATGCCTGGGGCCATAGTGTTTCCAGGTGATACTTATCGATAAATCGGAAGGGTGTTAAAGGAATCAGTGACAGCTTCTGCAGGTGCTTGTGTACTCCCCGGGATTGCACGTGTGCTCAGGAATCAGTGAGTTCTCAAGCAGCAGGCAGGACACCACAGGAAGGTCCTCACTTTTGTTTAGTAAGCCTCTTGCGCGTATATTGCACCGTATCAGTGTTAAGGTTAGTTTTCTGTGAAATGTTAGTATAGCATCCTGTTCTGTGTYAGCATAACTTCCAGAAGCCACATCATTCACTTGTTTATAGGGATAATTTGGTTGTTGGTGAATTCCCGGGTGAATGATAACTTCAAAAGGTTGACAGCACTTCAGAACTTTTGCATCCAGATAGTAAAGGCCAGGAATATTTGTTTCTGATGTATTTGTCTCCTCCCTTGGTCTTCTGTTCCCTCTGCCAGCTCCAGTGTGACTGTCTGTCACCAGCAGTCCCCACTTTCCTGTCTAATCTGGTCTAACGGTGGTGCATGTGCTCTTGTGTGTGAGGAACATTGCTCACGTGAGTCGTTCTGCTGCCAGTATTCACTGCAGCTTGGCTGTCCAGGTGCACTAGGGCTTGCAGGGTTGAGGACCTGAATTAGGAGGTCTCTGGGTTTGGAAGTTTCCCCATTTCGTTTGTTGATGTGATGCCTGTGGTTGAGGYGCTGCGTCCACGGCATTACCTTGGAGTAACTGCTCCAAGGAGAGGCACAAACGGTGTTTTATTCCTGAAGACCAGGGAGTTAATGGTGTTGACAAAGCAGCACAACTAAAACTGCCTTCATTATGCTCCTGATCTGCAGGACCCACCAATTCCCTTTCTCTTGAGATCTCTTTAGAGGAAAATGTGTGCAGGGCAGTATAAATGATGACTCTAGTCTTAAATGGATACATAGAAGATGACGGGAAGTCTAATGACAAGTTGAAACAAGAACAAAAGGTCAGAGGAAGAGGTTAGGCCCTTGTATCGCTGAAGAAGCTGGGAGAGGCTACTGGAAGAATAGACCTTATATCATGTCACATGGATAAATCTTACCCTGACTGGGAAAGCTGGGAAAGGAGAATATTTGTTCCATAAGGAACAGCCCTGCAGAGTGTTTGTCAGTCAGATGTAGCTTTGAAGCTTCCTCTCTCAAAAAGGTGGTGCCTTCAATAAACACCTTGAATGGTTCAGTGTTTTGTCAGCTGTTGTCTGTGGCGTTAAGCAGGGAAACTTTATTAAAAAGGCTCTATGTTGTCTTATTCAGTATCTAAAACCAGATTTTTATGTGTTTTTCTCACATTTGGAGAACCAACCAAGTAGTGGTAGAAGTTTCTGATCAAGTGATACCTCAGAATTTTGTCAGCTACATGTACAGCAAAGCTGGGGAGAAAGTTACATTTTTGTTTGTTAGTCCACAGCAGGGAGCAGATTAAAGGTTTTTTCTAGCAGGTAATGCCAGGTGTATTGCAGATGCTCCAAGCTGATGGATACTACCTTGAAAAGCCTCCTAACACCCACTTTAATTTGGTACCTTGGCTCGAGCAGTGCAGTTGGAGGTGCAGTTTTCACCAGCACACCAAAATCTTTGTGCCTGTTTTGCTTTATTTAAACCAGTCCCTGTTTATTTAAACCAGTCCCTGTTTCAGGTTATGCTAATAATTTTACTTACATTAGTTGCACGTACAGTAACTTTTGCTGGTAAGTAAAGCTAGCCTGTCTACGCTGGTGCCAGTCTGTAGCTATGAGCTTCAAACTATCATGCAGAAAAACTGTGGAAAGTTCTGCAGGATCCCACACGTTCTGCAATCCGGCTAAGAGCTTAAAGCTTTTTGATCTTGTACCGCTATAAGGGAACCCCAAAGTAGTCATTTAGGTGATAGTGTTTATGAAAATTTGCTACAGGCGTAAGCTTTATCGCCTTGAAATCAGTGAGAAGGACGTTCTGTTCCTCTGGCAGCAAATATGGAACGATCTCTTAAAACTGCCGAATCCAGTCTTGGCACGTGCTGCAAAATCGCGCATATTGTTACCAGGATAAATTACTGTGTGCTTACCCTTCGTTGCAACATGCAAACAGAACTGAGTCACTCGGAAAAAGACCTTTGTTGCGGCCAGGTTTTTCCACACGCTCGCGCAGGGCCCTGCTGTGCCGCGGCTGCTGGGCAGCTCGGCGTTCCCGACGGGCAGCTCGGCGTTCCCGGCATGTGCTCGGCCTTCCCGACGGGCAGCTCGGCACTCCCGATGTGTACTTGGCATTCCTGCCGGGCAGCTCGGCGTTCCCGCCACGTGCTCGGCGTTCCCACCGCACACTCGACATTCCCGTGTGACGGCGGCCGGCCCGACGCGCGTTCCCCGCGCTCCGCGTGCTCCGTGTCGGGGAGCTCGGCTCCTCGCGAGCTGCTCAGGAGGCGTCGAGGTGGCCACCAAGGGACGTGAGGAGGCGGCCACGTCCTCTCAGCCGCCTCCCTGTTTCCCAGCTGCTCCTAAGAGCTCCTGCAAATTATTTCATGTTTCCATAGCCCGCTGCAGTGTCACTTTTTACACTGTCTTTTACCTCTTATGCCCATTGAAATGTAGTATCTTTCTTAATGTAGTACTTTTATTACAACAGGCTCTTGCTCTAGGGTGTCTAGACATAGGTTTAAATGTTTGAAAAGTTCACAGAACACATGTATTAATTAAAGCTTTTCTCTTTACAGATTTTGCTGTGGTATATTTTGTCATTATGAGATGTCGTCTACCAGTGCTTCATTTGTGCAAATTAGATTTGATGACTTGCAGTTTTTTGAGAACTGCGGCGGAGGGAGTTTTGGGAGCGTCTATCGAGCCCGATGGATTTCTCAGGACAAGGAGGTGGCCGTAAAAAAACTGCTCAAAATAGAAAAAGAGGTAAGAGCTTACTAATAATTTGTGATGTAAAAGGAAGGACATAAAAAATTTTCTAATGTTTTCCATGCTCTAGTTCATTGAAACAGCTTATCGTGGTTTTTTGTTTAATTACGAGAAACTGTAACTGAATGTTGTTACAGTAAAGGTATGCTGAGTGGCTCCAGCTGAGTGTTTCTCTGTTTTAAAAGGTTATTGCATTCCTGTTTCTTTATTATCYTCCTCCTACCTTGTGTATCAGCTCCTCTCCATAATGAATCCTGAGGAGGAGCTATGGAGCTAGGGGTTTCCCTTTGAAACCAGTGGGCATGTTGCTAATAGGAGCATGAAATGTTTGCTGTCTTTGGCCACCTCCATTCTGCATTGTTGCATCTAGTCTATCGAGTCCTGTGGTTCACATCCCTGTGTTCATCACAGGCACAGCGTGTTCGGGTAGGTTGGGTTCCATCCTCACCCGCTGCAGGAGGTTTTGATCTGGGCTTCCAGCAGCTCTGAGTCAGCTGCAGTTCCACTTTTGCTTGGTGTCATCTTGCAGAGAGGTTTCAGGCCAACCATTCAACCAGTCGTTGGTTCTAGTGGCTTGCTGCATGTGTGGAAAGATAGATGGGCCCTTAGCAATGCTGTGGGAAAAGGCACAATGACCATTTACTCAACCGTAAGAGGTTTATCTAGAAAAGCTCTTGACTCTCAGCTTCGTAGAGTCCCAGCAGAGATACAGTGTCCCCACAGAGCCAGTCTGTGTGCTCATCACCTCAGCAGCGAGGACACGCTCATGTAGCAATGGACAACACAGTTTCTGGCCCACTGCAGCCTTTTAAAAGAATGGTGACAAACTGGAAGGGCAACAGAAGTGCATGCTCCTTTTGTGCGATATCCTCAAAACATCTTAGGAGTATAGTTACAAGCTGAAAGGCAACAACAACAACAAAAATCTAAGGATAATATGCTTAGAAAGTTTCCAGACACCAAGATTCTTCTGCTGTTGCAGCATCTGAGGGAGTGTGATAGAGTGCATCGTGCTCAGTGATGTAAGTGTCTTTAGTTACGATTAAGGAAGCTGGTGTCTAAATAACGTGGAAGGGTGCTTGTGCTGCCTATTGGGGGTGATGGAAGATGGGCACACTCAGGCCAGTGTCAATTTGAGCACTGGGGAAACTGACATTGGGCTGTTGGTGAAGACCTCGCTGGGTTGTTTTTGAAAGAASGTGGACAGACTGGAGGGGCAGCATGTTTCTTCCTGTACAGAATTGTTCATTTTCAACCAGACTGGTCTTCATTTGCATTTTAAATTTAGGAAGATGGGCTGTGGTGGGGAATGGCTTGGTGTGAGCACCCTCTGAAAGTTTTCTGGGGAGCCAGTGTAGAGGTGCATGGTAATGTCTTCAGKAAGACTAGCAAGATTAGTTCAAACTTGTCTATCAGATGAGGCAACTGTGAATCAAAATGTAATGAATCAAAAATTAATATAAGCTTGTTTGCAAACATTACGTTTTCATATGGGAAAATACTGGCCTCGTTTAATCTGATGTTAGAAAATTATTACAGAAATAATGTTTGGGATCTGAAGCCAGACAAATTAGAATGGGAAATAAAACACAAATTATAAGAAGTGAGAATGAGTAACACTTGGAACGAGCTGCAGAGGGAAGGAGTGAAGATGGAGAATTTGTTCCATCTCTCCGTATCTTCACCCTGAGATGAGACGTCTTCTTGGACCATTGACTTGTTGAGCTCAACAGAGTAGCTTGCTGAAATATAATGGCTTGTGATTTACTGGAGGTYGGCCTAAATGGCCCAAAGGTCTTCTCTGACCTTAATGGCCGTAAGTCTGTTTACATACGCAGTGTGCAGCATGTTTGTGGTTTGTCTGTGATGTTGACAGTAACAAATGTTTGTGACTTAACTCTCCCTGCAGTTGTGGTGAGGCAATGACTTTTCTGATAGCAATAGAAAAATAACTTGCTGTAACTGTATATGCCTATGTTTGGTAGATATTTGGACAGTTTGTATTTAGTCCAGCAAACTGGTTATTACTTCTTCTGATCTCTTTGAAAGGAAGTGTCCCTTTTAACGCCGTGACTGATAATCTTTTGTTTCTGTTAACTGCTGCCAGCAAMCCAAAACATTGATTAGAGTGAAAACAAGAGAGCTGGGAGAAGCTTGCTCATAGGAATTTCATGCTAGCYGATTCCAAAGGCACAAGCCAAGTCAATGAGCTGCAGCATCATTCTGCAAATGCATTGTATCTGGGATTCATTTTATTAAGCAAACAACAATATCTTGATGGTTTGTTCTAGCCAAGTGGATATGTTCTGACATGTAAAATGGAATAATGCTAGTTCTGGCAAAGAGCAGCATATTGTACTGAAAGATACACTTTTTTTTTTTTTTTTTGAAAGGGTATATCCCAGGCAGCTTTCTTCAAGGAGTCTTTAAAAGCGTGATAAATAGGAAGACCTCTGCAAGGCATTAACTTCTTTGGAGAGGCAGTAAAATCTGACTGTGCAGGAGGAGCTATGTGCTTGTGTGAATGAGTACAGCTAAATAGGTGCATTGAGAAGGACTGTTCTGCAAGGCCTTGATTAGAACCTCAGATCTGAAACTCCGGACAAGATTTTTACTGAATAAGCAAATCATATGAATGTGTCTTGAGTGATTAAGGAAGAGCAGAAGGAAAATTAAACTGCAGCTTTGCCATCTTGTCTAAGCATGTTGGTAGTTTTGGGGTCTAAGTAAGGAACAAGGGAAGTTATCTGATATTTTTGTGCATGATTTGTACGAATGATTGATTGGACAGGCCCATAATTTGCCTGCCATTGAAACAGATGGGGAAAATTGGGTGCATAGGCCCAATTTGGACCCAGTTGGGTCCCAAGGCTGTGGAAGTTGCTGGCAGCTCTGCTGCCCCCGCTACCTTGAGCCCGTAGCCACCTGAACGGAACGGTCCAGCCRGCAGTTTTATGCCTTGCCCAGTGCCGCTCTCGCTGAGGGGCGACCGTCCCCTCAGCGGTCCGTACGAGTCGGAGGCCCATGGTGTTTGCCGCTGCTCGCCCTTGAGGGGTGGGCTTTTGATGCTGTTTCTCAGCAGCTCCTGTCTGACCAAGAGTGTGGCTCTTCTTGCAGTTGATGGCTGGTAGGATTTTGCCTGMATTTTTAATTTCACTTTAATGTCAGTGCTCTGTAGTAGTAGTCCTGTGATACTTGGACTGATTCTTTGCTCTTGGTGGACAGCAGCAATGGATCCAATTTGCTTCAGCTCTTAGAACCACAGAACCTTTGTGTAGGATCATTTAGTTTTATGCATTAAAGCTGTCCTCCCATTCCTTTCAAGTGCTGCTGGTGGATTGTGCAAACTGCAGCTTGGTGGTGGGGAAAAGCCAGGGAAATGTAAGCAGAATCTTATTGGAAAGTGCTCTGAGGAATCAACAGCCACTTGTGAATAAAAAATGTTGAGTACTATTAACTTTATATGCTTTGTGCAGTCATGTCTGTAGAATGTGTCTGAGTTTTTATGAGACATGTTTTATGAGACATAGGACATGTTTCTGCTGGTTTTGGTGCTGTGTTGGTGGAGGTCTGGCTACCATGGAAATTCCTTTCACGCTGTCAGGCTTTCTTGCATGTGCTATCTGTGCAGTAAGCTTTAGGGGATTGTTCAACTGCTTTATAAAACTTTTCCTATGGAAAAGAGTACATCTTGCTCCTGTTTTTCTTTTGTGATGTGCTTTGGTCAGGGAGCGCCCGAGTTGACACAGGTGGTGGTGTCCATAGCTCCCAAAGCGGCCCAGTTAGCTCGGTCCCGTGCGTGTGCCTGGTGAGCCTCGCATGTGCATTGAACAAGTGTGTGGTGATTGGAACGTGGGTCACGGGAGGAAGGACCGGGAATGACCTTCAGGAGTAACGAGGGGAAAAACAACACAGCAGAATAAAGCAAAGCAAACCGAACCGAAATTGATACTTAACCTAGACAGGGCTAAAAATAGGGGATGTTCTCTTTGCTCGCAGTTTATAGCTGTTACGGGTGCTTTGGTGCCAGCCTTGAATGACTCTCTGTTCTGGGAACCGGCCATACAGAAGAGGAATTTTGATGCTTTTTTATTAAGACTTTCCAGGAGCTCTGACTCCTTTCCCCCTTTTATTTCTAAATCAGCAAGTGTTTAAAGAGGTGCAAGATAATCTCTGTGGGGAACCCTCTAAGTGGGCTTGATTCTGGCTTGGAGCAGAGGGAGGGACGGGCCCAGTGTTTCTCAACCCGTCATCCTGTGCTATGTGTAGCTGGCTGAGGGGTTGTGAAAGATGGCTGTAAGCATGTGGTATATAACGATATACAGGGGGTGCAGCTCTGAATATGTGAGCTTTGCAAAGAGACCTGCACCTATATTTGAAAATTGTAAAGAGTTTTCTTATAATCAATATGTGTAGACTTTGTGATCTCATGAGACCCCTTCCAGAGCCATGTTTATTGTAAGAAATATTGCTGAATCTTGTTAATGGCTGTAGGGAAAAAAAAATGCTGTATGTATTATGCCAAAGACGTGTTTTAAAGTGTCTTTGTTTTGGTTTTCCAGTGAGGATATTTCAAGTTTAGAGTTTGCTTGCTTTTCAGATTTTGGCTTAAAAATAAATAAAGGAGGGGTGGAGGAGAACTTAGAGCTTCTCCAGGTGCTCACAGGGGGAACTTGATACGACTGCCAGTCTGTGGCAGTTGTACAAACAGGGCTGAACGCTCGGGCGGCTGTGCGTGCTGTACAACCCACAAACAAAGTCAGTTGTTGTGGGTAGGACAGAGACCTCTACAACAAATCTCTGACTGGCCCCGCTTTCGAGGTTACCCTCCTCTTGGGTAATCTCGCTTTCCTCAGGGTTTTTGTTTGTTTGAGGACTTTATTTTGAAAATCAGTGTTATATTTTGGGGTGATTTGAAAATCTTTGCCTTAGAAAATGTCCTTAGCAGATGTATGGGGCATGACTGCATGCTACGTCTCAAGCAGAACTTGTGTTGC